TCATGATACCACCACACAAACAAATTCGCTATTTCCGGCGCAACGCAAATCCAGGAAATACTGGAAAACGCTAACCTCCTCGAATTGCAACAATAGCTTTGTAAGGTCACGCATTAGAAATGAATCAAGTGCTATGTAATATTGAACTGCGTTCGTGAACCTCATTGGATAATTCGATATAGTTCGTGAATCTCATTGGGTAATTCGCTGATTGGTAGTTAGTGGTGTCGAAAGTTTAACTTCGCCAAGGAAATTAATGGACATAATTATTGAGTAAGACAATGGCAAGCTTTTTTTGTGGTTTCTCTATTTTCTCGTATTCGTATATGTGATTCACTTGATATTTTGAAGTATGAACTTGAAAACAATCAGGAAGTATTAACTAAATCTTCATTATCAATAAAAGGAGTTACAAAATGCTTAAAACGTTGTTTAGAACTTGCATATTTCACCTTTAAAGACAAACTATCCTGTCAGATAAATGCAGCTGTAATTGGGTCGCAAGCATCTCCAACTGTAGCAAATCTGTATATGAAAGGTCTGGAAAGAAAAGCACTGACATCCTAGAATAAGGTACAGATATGTAGATGACACATTTATCATCACAAAGAAAGTTGAAAAAGAAAACTTTCTAACAGAGATTAACCTAATCTCAGTGTATATAGAGTTTACTAATGAAGTAGAACCGGCTAAGGAAACTCTAAACTTTCTGGATTGTCTAGTAAAAAGATAAACTTAGGAGAAATTAAAGTCTACAATTCATACGAACTGTGATCAAGATTTGACCGGATAGTTGCAAAATAATTGAGCGCTGAGTGAGAAGTAGACATTTGTAAAAAATTATATTTGTAAAATCTCAGCGAAATTGAAATGATTAATTCCAACGTTTCGTTCGGCAATCTGGTCCGAACTTCTTCAGGGAAATTAATCGAAATTAACATAACAAAGGTTTATATATAAAGGGACACATCTTGTTTTTAAATTCTTGTCCAATCATGAATCATGCAACAGGTATCAACATGTATCATAAATAAATAAATAAATAAATAAATAGAATTGTATGTTTGTATATAAAATTACATCTCTTATTTTTAAATATGAATCAATAAGTATACTACACAAAACAAAACAAAAACAAACATTGTATGAACTATGATCGAAAACTTTTTGACCTCAGACTTTCAAAATTTGTCCACTTTTGTTAAAATATATGTGTGTATGCAGTATATGCAGGATACAATGGTGTGTGTGTGTGTATGTGTGTGTGGGTGGAACAGTCATAAAACATCTGCTATTCTCATATGAGCTGTGATCAAGATTTGACCGGATAGTTGCAAAATAATTGACATTTTTATCAATATAATTTAATTTTTATAGATTTGTTATTCTCTCCATAAGAAGACGTAGACAATCGGGAATTTGACCAAGTGTGACTACTTGTTCATACATATCAAATTTTATTTTGTTTATTAGTCAGGATTTGCCATGCATCGGCTAACATCACACCTTCACGTCTGTTTAAACTGTTGCGATTCACCCATATATGTAGGGCTTCTGCAGTCAGTCTTTCTTGATATGAACCAAAACCTTTTTGTAAAACCTTAGTCTTATCAAAGTCGATTTTGTGTCCCGTTTCTATTGAATGTAGTGCAATCGCTGAGTTGTTTTCTAGCTTCTTCAAGTCTGCAGAGGTCTTTGGAACCGCCTTTAGGCATTGTTTATGCTCTTTCACTCTTATATTTACCTGTCTGGAAGTTTCTCCTACATATACTGCGTTACAATCCCCACAATTGATCTGGTATACGCAATTCTGATGGTTTTCTTGTTCTATTTTATCCTTAACCTTCACCAGTAATGAGCGTAAGGTGTTAGATGCACGAAAGTACACTCTTATGTTATGTTTTATGTCAAATTTTGAAAGTCTGAGGTCAAAAATGTTTTTGATCATAGTTCATACAATTTTTGTTTTGTTTTGTTTAGCATACCTATTGATTGTACTATTGTACTTTTGTATAAACATACAATTCTATTTATTTATGTTTGATACATGTTGATACCTGTTGCATGATTCATGATTGGACAAGAATTTAAAAACAAGATGTGTCCCTTTATATATAAACCTTTGTTATGTTAATTTCGATTAATTTCCCTGAAGAAGTTCGGACCAGATTGCCGAACGAAACGTTGGAATTAATCATTTCAATTTCGCTGAGATTTTACAAATATAACTTTATAAATGTCTACAATATACAGAAAACCGATACATTCCAACAAGTATTTGGATTTCCAATCAGATCATCCAATAAGAATAAGAGTTTCAGTAGCTTTAAATCTCGTTATAACAGAGCTAGAAACATTATAACACATAATGATGATATAGAGAACGAGATATCCAATAGAGAAAACAGATTTTGATTGGAAATGGTTATCCTGAAAAGCTACTAGATAATATTATCAATAAAATAGAGCATAAGGTAAAAAAACAGAAAATTGGAGAAAATCTTGGCTATCTAAAATAACTATTCCACATTGTAAGGACACAGCTGGACAAAGACTGCTTGCTGCATATAATATTAAAGTCTATTTCAAGTCGTCTAATTCTCTACAGAACGCTTTGGTGAATGTCAAAGATCCGGTTCCCAAAATGGTACAAATTAATTGTGTCTATAGGATAAAATGTTCAGAATGTGAAGCATGCTACACATAGGGGAGAGCAGTAGACAGGTGAAAGTCAGAGTGAATGAACATAGACAATGCATGAAACGTACCCACCTAAAAATGAAGTGGAATTAAAAAGTCTAGAAAAAAAAACATCGGTTGTAGCAATGCATGCGATAGACAGTGGATATAAGATTGATTTCGACAAAGTCATAATTCTAGGAAGAGGCTTTCACATTCACATGAAGAAAGACTGACCATTTAAGCCTTGCACATTTTAACCACATCGAATGCAGTAAATGCAGGAGAGAAGGGATAGACTTATCACCCACCTATATAGCAAACTCTAAGTCAGACAGAAAAAAAACCTTTATGAACCTCCATGACCTTTAAATACAAATTCGAATCCCGGTGGGTGCGGACTGATGAAGAGTCCCAAACTAGGACGAAACAGCTGTCCAGTACTCCCAGGTTTTCCATTGGTTCTCTAACTAATGTCAGCTCATGATGAAATCGTGAAACCAATCAAATCCCTACAAACCAACACTTGAATACCAATGAGGTGCTCACTGGCGACTGGCCCTATTCAGGTAGGTAGTTACCTGGGTTCCAGTGGGAAGTCGTGACCAGTAGGGTGCAGCTGGTCGGGTGTGAGGACGAATACTCGCCGAAGACATTGGCTAGCGGTCGCGCTATGTCGTGAATTGGCAGAAGTTAGAATTCAAGGACCATTGGATCAGGCCCCAGTGGCTTAATGGCATACGAGCTCGCCTTGTAACCGGAAGGTTCTGGGATCGAATCCCGGTGGGTGCGTACTGCCGAAGAGTCCCAAACTAGGACGAAACAGCTGTCCAGTACTCCCAGGTTTTCCAATGGTTCTCTAAGTAATGTCAGCTCATGATGAAATCGTGAAACCAATCAAATCTCTACAAACCAACACTTAAATACAAAGTATTATCATGTTTATCACATGTGAATTGACGTCTTTTCCGTATGACAAATAACATACACTCATACATACAAATATACACAATAACACTTTGACATTGGTCATTACAAATATATGCGATGACTGCTTACATATTTCTATTGATACAAATGTCTATCGACAGGTGGCCTTCAAATGAACTGACTTCAATTTATGTAAAAACATTTTTGACTATATATTTTGATGATTAATAAGAATCCGAATAATTCTGCTGCTGAGAAAGCTCTGGCTTACACAGCGAAAGGTTCAGAAAAATCTTGTTCTAATTTTTATTCTTGAACACGCTGGGATTATTTTTTGTAAATAATTTATAATGATTCAATCTAACTCGGTGCTCAAATTATTCCAGGAAGTTCGTAACATCTACGGTCTGGAAACTTATAATGAAATTATAATGTATATTCATGATAATGCCATCTCCTTTGCTAATCTTAGTAAACACCTGCCAAATAGGTTAATATCGACCAACATTATTACACCTGCTAATTCGCATAAAATAACTCATCTTACAATAGCAACTTTTATGCATGGAAACGTGTTAAAATGACGAATGAATCAGCGAATTATTTACTATACTAAAACGGCTGCACCTGTATATCTCTCTCTCTCTTACACCCACCTGATAGCTGCCAGCTTGATGTGGTAGTCAGTCTTGCATATCATTATGATCCAATAAGCTATACCGGTTGGAACAAGTATCCCTGAAGGTCGTACCGTCCTAGAAAGGTTGATCGGGATAGTGATTACACTAAAAGCAATCACTATTATGATATTAATTGTACTGCATGTCAGATAGGGGCTGAGGAGTAACCCCAGAAAGCCATCCATATTGTCTTTCGCATCTGTGGAGGTCAGGGTGGTTAGAAAAGGTCAACTCCAAAAGTTCTACATCCCATCTTACACTGTGGTGGTCAATATCTGATGAAATGGCTTCACTAACAGAAATCTCTAAACACAGACCTCAAAAGAATGCCGCCCAGTCTTAATGGTTATTCAACACCAGTGCTCTTTCTCTGCGAGGTACTCTAAAATGTTTCACTTCATGTTTGTTACAAGCTTCGAAAAAAAGTCTACAGATACCTCGATTAGGTGCTCAAGACAAAATTGCCTGGAGTTCTCTACTTGTAGGTTCTGATTAGTGAAGTCCACTAAGTAGAATGTGAGGGGACACATTTAGAATGCAAAGGTCACTGGATTCACGGGTGAATTCATGAAATACGTACTACTGAAGAGTCCCAAACTAGGACGAAACAACTGTCCAGGTATTTCTTGATGAATAACGAAGCAGTTTAGAACTTAGGACATAAATGTATTAATTCAAATATTTAACAGACCAATGAATGAATGTACTTACTAATTTTCAAGAATATTTCTTCTAATGACGTCACAGAGATACCAATACCAACGACATCACATTCTCTGAATACTTTTTCTGTATTTATATTGAATAATACATTCATAACATCTTGAATTATTGTTGGTTGAATAAAAAATTGCAGCTGATCTCGGTATTCATGTAGTAGACTGATTTCTGGTGAAATATTTAGGATAAATGATTTCAACTGATGTAGATTATCCTGATTGGTAATAACAGTTAAGCTGAGAGATATAAAAAAAAACACAATACACATACACACAATATAACACAGTAAAGTACAGTACAGTATTGTACGGTATACTATGAGATATTACGGTAAAACAGAGTTTCACTTTGCAGGGAAGTGAAGCACTTCAGGTTGTCATAAGCCATGTAGCACACTAAAGTAGACAAATAAATGGATTCAAAAGACCTATTATTATTATTACTATTATTTCATTTAATTCCTAGAGGAACATAGGGCTTCACCCGCGCGTCTCCATTGCGTTCGGTTCTCTGCTAGAGTTTTCACCCAACGACCAATTCTCCGCTTCCCTTTCGGGTTCCATTAGAGTGATGGCTTGGCGTGTGATGTCACTTGATGGTTTCCTCAGGGTATGGCCAATCCACCTCAGTTTCTTCCTACCTATATGTTGCACAATGGGTTCCTGTTGGGTTGATTCACTCATTGCCAGAGATCCCTGTTGCCGATTTCTTCTGGCCGGCCATCTGATTTTGAGTATTGAGCGAAGATAACTAGTCGATGATGAAGGTCTGAAGTTTGTTTGAGATGCACTTTATGACGCGCCAAGTCTCTGATCCGTATAGTAGCACTGACTGACTTCACATTGGAGTTGATAATCCGGATCTTATTCTCATTTTCATGCTGAGCGCTGTTTACCGCCATACAGACTTCAGAGCAACGAAAGCTTGTCTTGCTTTCCCGATCCTTGCTTTGATATCCTCATCAGTTCCGTTCGCCTGTAGTTGAAACGATGCTTCCCAGGTGGGTCGATAGGTAAAGGAGGTTGTTTCTTTCAGGTTCCTTCCATTTATGCCGGCTGATTGTTGTCTGTTGTTGTTGGCCAGGAATCTTCATCACCTACCTCTGTTTTCTCTATGTTCACCTGAAGTCCTATCTTCCCTAGATGCTTCTTTTATCGCCAGCTTGTTGCTTTTCACTTGTATATCTTCTAGTTTGTGCAGAAATATTATTACTGTTTCCTTTAGTTCCTACAAGAACATAGGGCCGCACGTCTCCATCGCGCGTTCGGTTCTCTGCCGACGTTTTCACCTGGATCCACGTCTGCCTACATGCTTTCATCTCCTCTTCACATGACCTCTTCGATGTCATTATTGATACAAGTATAAAACTTGGGCACTGTGGTGGTAGAGTATACCTCCATTATGGATAAGATTTTATTTTAATAAGTCACACAGTGTTACACAGTAATATTCACTGATGACCACGTTTCGAGCACAAATTATCGCCATCCATAATCATATCAAGTTACTCACTCATACAACTTTTTTCTTTCATCTATATACATGTGTGGTGGTGATAATACGAGTGTTATTAATCAATTACAATCAGATGGGAAATACGACGAGTGTTTTTATAGCCGTAATAAGTAACTTGTTAGAATGTTGTGATGTGTTTGAATTGAAATAGAATTTTATGATTATTTATTATCCTCTTCTGATTTGACTGACTGACTGGTGGTAATAATATCTTCCATACATATCTCTGGTATTTGCATTGAGTCATTTCTGTTGCATGTGTCGGGTGTGGACTCAATTGAACGAGGATTCAGTAATCAACCACCTCTTTCTCCACCTACTTAGATTACTTCTTAGAAATTTAACTCTCTCCCCTCCACAGCACTGTGTGGTTGTGTGTTAATGCATGTAGTGCAGTTGCTGAGCTTTTTTCTAGATTACTTATCTTTTCAGGGTCAACCATTCTTACCTTAGCTAAATTCTTACGTTCTGATAATCTGATTATCCCTGACCTACTAGTTTGACCTATATAGTTGACCTAAGTCATATCCATTGCAGGGTATTTTGCAAATTATATTACTTTGTTTAACTGGGTCCACCGGGTCTTTTAGTCTACAGAGCTTGTCTCTGAGTGAGTTTTTAGGTTTGAATGCCACCCTAATTCCTGCTTTATTAAGGATCCTACGTAGGGTCTCCTATAAATATATATATATATTGATGCATAAGTACACCATCTTGTTCACTGCACACTCTGGACGATACAACTTCCTTTCTCCAGCTACTTGCTTCCCACTACTACCAATCATCTCTGGCGCGTATTTGATCCGTATATCCACGTTCCATATCTTTTGCTTCAATCTCCTTTTCCACTTCACAAGTACCCATTGGGCTGTTGGCAAAGCCTTGCGTGGTGTGAACAATTGCAGATCAGAAGGACTACTTCATGACTTCTACTCTGTATACCTTTATTGGTGTATTTTAGGGACAATTATAACTCACCAAATAACTGTACTTTATATATACACACAGAGTTGTCTAGCATATGCATATTGACTCTTGTTTGAAACAGTTAAAGCCCTTTTATCGACGTCCAGTCTTTTCTTTTGTCTTTGCATGCCGGCGGTGTTATTGTTGTTGCTGTTGTTGACGTGCGATTAGGACAGATTAGACAGCGTATTAAGCTAATATTCTGTCATAGTCTGTCTACTATGTTGTAGTACCGGTCATAACACACACACACAGAGAGATTCGTAGTGTATTTTCAATTAAAAGTTGAACAAGAATTAAGAAAGTGAGTAAAATAACAGCAGACATGTGAGATGTGCTTTAGAGTTATAAATTACAAAAGATAAACTGAACGCGCGTGTTTTAAGGTAAGTTTTGTAACGAAATAGTATCACTTGAAGAACACTATCTAAAAATCAGAGGAAACTATGAATTTTCTTTTACTTTGCCTACTGACCTTCTTCTCACAATTTGTTAACAATTTCACCTAAATAACGAATGGGAATCCAAGTTACTAACCCAGCGCACTCTATTAACTCACCTATCAAGCAGGTCATCATTTACTGCAAGCATCATGTCGCTTGATGACCGGTTGTCTTTGTAAATCAATCTACACATTCCTCTCTATGTTAATCATCATTCTCACATCACTTACAAAAAGTAAAAATAAGCATTGCAGAAGGTTAAATATGCCGTGTGTATGTGTGTGTGTTTTGAAAAGTACATTAAAATTCTATTTATTTGATATAATTATTATAAGGCGAACGATTCAGCAACTCAGACAGAATCTAACGGTCCTATGAATCCCGATTTTTTGTCAACTTACAATTTGTAGTACCATATTCAGCCAATGTCAAGTCAATTAGGGCCCTTCACTAGTCACTGATACTCACTACAACTGCAGGTAACCTTATTGTGCAGTCAGTAAGAAGCCCATGTTCCACTGGACTGCATCTCTACCGGCTGAATGTTTAACTATCTCACGCTGTAACCTAAAGGGTCTCAGCTGGTTGTCCAGCAGGATGGTAAGTCCCAGATTTCATCGAAACAGCTATCCAGTACCTACTAGTTTTCAGTGGTTCTTTAACTGATATCTATCCATGATCAGACATGAACATGCATATATTGGTAGAGAGAATGAAGCGTTTCACCATTCGCCAGGAAATCTAAATCTACTTATTCTGAATAGAAATCTAAGACCATTCATTATGAAGTATTTATTAATATCTAGTTATCAAAAAGTTGGAAAAGCAGCATAACCAGACGGAATCTCCGCAGAAGCATTGAAAATAGACCTAGAAACATTAGCAGACTTGATGACACCACTACTGAAGAAGGTGTGGAAATAGGGCAAGGAACCTGCCTACCTATTCAAACTGCCAAAGAAAGGAGACTTAAGTCAATGCAAGAATTGGCGCTGCATTATTGATCCTGTCTATCCCAAGCAAAATACTAAACTGTATCATCCTGGAGAGAATCAAACACACCGACCTGGATGAAAACCTTCGACCGGAACAAGCTGGATTCAGGAGAAACAAGTCATGCATCGATCAAATCGCAATACTACGGATCACAATTGAACAGAGCTTGGAATGGCAGTCAGCTCTCTACCTCACTCAACTTTATCGACTTTTGAAAAGGCCTTCGACAGCATCGATCGAGAGGTGACTTGGAAACTACTTCGCTACTACGGGGTGCCGCCAACAATTATAGATCTCATCCAACAGTTTTACGACAATGCTGCATGCCAAGTAATCCATAACGGGAAACGCACAGAATCCTTCGAAAAAAGTGAAGATGGGAGTAAGACAAGGCCAGGTGGCTGGCTGGCTGACTAGCTACTATCTCCAATGATTTTCCTGATTTAGGGCGGTAGACTGGATAATGCGACAGACAGCGGCGAGCAACGAGGAGACAGGCATACAATGGACTTACACAATAAACCTGGAGGATCTAGGCTTCACAGACGATATATGTCTGACTTCCTACAAACTGGAAGATATGCAAGTGAAAAGCAACAAGTTGGCGATAAAAGAAGCATCAAAGATTGGACTTCAGGTAATCATAAAGAAAACAGATGTGATGATGAAGATTTCTGGCCAACAGCAACAAAAACAGATACAACAACAGACAACAATCAGCATAAATAGGGGAAATCTGAAAGAAGCAACCTATTTTACCTACCTACATAGGGAGCATCGTTTCAATTACAGGCGGGTAGAACTGATGAGGATATCAAAGCGACGATTGGGAAAGCAAGACAAGCTTTTATTACTCTCAAGCCTGTATGTGGAGATCAACAATACTACCCAGAATGAAAAATAAGATCCGGATTTTCAACTCCAATATGAAGTCAGTGCTAATAAAAGGATCAGAGACTTGGCACCGCATCACGAAGCGCACTCTGAACAAAGTACACATCTTCATCAACAGATGTCTTTGCTCAATACTACTCAATATCAGATGGCTAGAAAAGATCAGCAACAGGGATCTCTGGGAGCGAACCAACCAGGAACCGATTGTACTACAAATATGCAGGAATAAATGGAGTTGGATTAGTGGCCATACTCTGAGAAAACAAACCATCAAGTGACATCACATGCCAGGTTATTGCTCTAGAGGAACCCAGTCGAATGGGAAGCGGGGAGGGTGTGAAAATGACAGGAGATAATAGCATGTGGGCAGACGTGGAGCCACGTTAAAAGGTCGGCAGAGAACCGACCGCGCAACTGAGATGCGCGGCTGAAGACCTATATTCCTCTAGGAATTAAAGGAAATAATAATAAGTAATAATAGTTATCAAAATCCACATTAATGACTGTTTTTCAGTTATTTCACATCATTCTAGTTCAAGGTTATCGTGAAGGTGATGAAGGCACGTACTTTAGATGAATCACGTGCATATGAATTATGTAAACAAATAACAGTAAATTCCAACCTTCACATATCGTAGACTACTTGACCTATTAAGTAATCATTATTCATTTATATGTTCTTTCACTTATCTTATTAGTGATGAAATTATTTGCGATAACCTTGAGTTGACAAACTGTTAAAGATGTGTACTGGATGGTGATTGAAGGTGAAATCAAGTTCTAAATCGCGACAGAATTTCAATCACCAGACTCCGGATTACTAACCCAGCTCTTCATTAGCCGAACTTGGAGATTTAGCTGTCAAACTAAGTTCGTATTTCACTTCAACCACCATGGTATGTGCTGACCAGCTGTCGAGTGAATCATTGAAATGTTCTCACATGCTTATCACCCTTTCTTCATCGATTTTAATAAGATATATTAATTCGCGATTTTTAGCGCCATCACCGTGCGTATTCCTTCTCATACCCGGCTTCTCAGAACAACTCCAAACAACTTCGTTCTGTAGTCAGCTATATTACATGGCCTAAAGTATTCTCCCCCAGTGAATGAATGCACAACCACCTCGCCTAGTTAACTGAAGGTCCTAGATTCAGCCTCTGCTGGGGAAAAGTGTGGGTAATGCTGAAGAGCATCAGACTAGGAACAAACAGCTTGTGTCTGGCATTCAATAGCAGCTCTCTAACAAATATCATCAATCTCCAAGAGCTAAAAACCTGAGAATTATTAAAGCTGTTAAAAGATAGTTCATTTCATTAAACTCACCTTAGCACATAACCAGGTCTGTATTGAGTCTTCAGAAACTTTGAAGTACCAAAACAAATCAATTTGCCTCCAATAACAATTGCTTTTCGATCTTCAGTACAAGAAGAACAGATAAAATAAATTATGTAGAAATTTTAGTCTACTCATAAGTAGGTAAAAATTACACAAATATTTTCACGTAAAAATCATTTCCGTGTACAGTAGATACTATGCCAACTTGAATGTGTGATTGTCCAGAATTTGAGATTTTGGACTTAAATAGCCTTGAAAATTATTTTTAAAACATCATAATTGTTCTATGCTATTGATTTAGGTTCTAATGAGCAGTAATATTTAACAACTCAGCATTTCAGATACAATGAAAAGTAATTTTAGAATTGTTGAACGTAGCTGAACTTGACTTTTCAGATGTTTCCAGAAAGAATTCTAAGTCTCTGTTATTTACTATATATTTGAGTTTGGATTTCAGTTGTCCAGTCTCATGTCTGATGGTGATTAACTTACAGGCAATTCTGTGGATTTTTTCTCTTAAACAGAGTCTACTGGAGCGTTCTCCTGCAGCTCTCACCTTTCTTGTATTAAACACAGAACTTGTTTGCAAAGACAATTAGAAATAATTCCACTTTTTTAAGTATCAAATGTTAAAAACACGATGACTTGTAGATCTTGAATGTGTTTTTGATAGCCTACTAAGAAGATGAAATCCACAATGCACATTTCATCCTATCTGAGATTCTTCAGTCTCAAACTTAGATTCCAGTGAGTGGTGGTGTTTCTATTGAGATTTGGACCTAGCATCCAGCCTTTCAAGTGTAAAAGTACTAACCACATCTGGATAACTTCAAGGAGTTTGTCGAAACGTCTATAATAGAAGCCAAAATGTCAAAAGAAAATCACTCAAAGAGAGATTCCAACAATTATTTCAGTAAGCGAATTTTCATGTTTACTCCAAACAGAAATAGGGATCACGCATTTTATATGGAAATGTTATATGGTTGGAGGCGATCAGCAGCAAACTTTGGACCTAGGTTTCGTGCTTGTTGACGCTCATCAGTCTGCGAGGCATATCTGTCGCTTTGAGGGAATTCATGTTCCCTCTGATGTTGAAATCCCAGTCACTCAGTGCAATACAGTCAGAGACATTACCACTGAGCTTTTCTGCACGCGAATAACCTCCTGTAAGACTGTAATGGATGAACTGATTGGTCCCTAGGGCGTAACCAGTGTCACACATCTTGGTCCTTGGTGTTGGTGCAGAGTGAGCTCCGACGGCGAACCGACTAACTTGGTGATCATATAGTAAAATTGACTAATAGAATTCAAGTGTTGGTTTTCAGGAATTTGAGTGATCGTAGGGTCCGACCACGAGTTAACATCACTTAGAGAATCATAAGGAAACCAAGGCGTACTGGATACCTGTTTCCTCCCAGTTTGAAACTCGTCAGCATTACGGACCCAGAACCTTCCGACTACAAGGCCAGCTCGGATCCTAATGGCTGAATGGTCTACAAGCTCTACATGTAATCGGAATGTCCTGGGATTCGAACCTGAGTGGATACTTACTGTTGACAAGTCCCAAATTAGGGCGAAACAGGTTCCAATACTGCCTTCTGATTTCCAATGGTTCTCTAACCGATAGAATTCTGTCTGCACCAACACTAAGAAGTAGAAGAATGATACTGGCTACTCCCTAACATGGACATCTGAAACAATGTGGACCATTAGAACCAAATATAGTCGAAACGAATAATTAGAATAGTAATAGTAATAGCCGGATAGTTATTCTAAGTGGGGATTTAAGACCATAAGAACGAGAGAGATCGAACAAACTTTTTTGAACACTAAAATGAAGCTGAAAATTTATAATGGAAACTGCCTCAGCTATACTTAACAATCGAAGGTGTACAACCTTAGGGAATTGAGATGGCTACACCTTGTATAGAATCGTAAAAGCTCAATTGTTTCTACAACTCTTATGCCCCGTGTCCACAAGGTGTGCCAGTGTACAACTCCTGGTTGACTCTACGACTCCTTGACCTAACCACATTGGAAAATGCTCTGAAGAAGGTGATGGTAGGCTTTCCGAGTCATCCTACTCATGTAAGTGTCTCCAAAATATCAGTTAAATTTATAAATGAACATTGAGGTGACCAGGTTCAGTAGTTTATCCTCCACCTGCATTGGAATCATATAACGGGTGGTGAATTTTAAACATAGTATTGCAGCAAAGAACGTTTTAGCTATTAATTTTCGAAGTTTCAATGCCAATAATTCAGCGACCGTATCTCCTTTGAAGTGTAAAGTCATATGATTGTGTTTCTTCTGCACCATCTACACGCATTTCTCTCTCTCTCCCTTGGTCACATCATAGTGACTTTAAAAAAAAACATTTTCTCGGTATCCATTCTCATATACATTACGTTTTCTATTTCCCGTATTTCGTCGTCAACAGTTTATTTGTCTGCTTTTATTCGGGTTCTGAAATTATCTTAATTAGACTAATTAAAAAAAAAATATGTGTCAATCAAGATTCGAAACCAACACTCAGACCTTAGTAACCCAATAATCAGAACTATCCAAATAATGACGATTTCACTTAAATCACATTGAAGTCTGCACTGAATAAGTAGTCCAGGAAGACAATGGAAGCTTCTCAATGAAAATAATGAGGTTCAATAAGAAAAACACAACAAAGTAGAACTTTGCAAAGAAATGTTACTACTGTGGTGACAGCTGCCTACGAACAAGCCAAAATTGTAGACAACAATTTACGTCAATGTTACATCCCGAGTCAGGGTCATGAGAAAAAAACAATAATCAAGCTTAACCTAGAGAAACTCATCAACTAATCACAGCAGACTTAACGTGTGCAAATACAATTCGCAGATATATTGGCTGAGAATTCAATTCTGTATTATAAGTACTGTTTTTGGAATAAAGTAAATTATTATTATTATTATTATTATTATTATTATTATTATTATTAACTATCTGAGAAACGATCACAGGCAGTACAGAATAACCTTCAGCAAGAAAACAACCAATCAGAAGACGTTGCTTCTCTGCTAACGAAGCAGCTGTCGAGTACTCCCAGGTTTTCCAATGGTTCTCTAACTAATATCAGCTCATGATGAAATCCTGAAACCAATCAAATCCCTACAAACCAACACTTAAATAACCCTAATAATAGTACACAAATAAATCTATAAATATCTTCAAGTGTTAGTTTGTAGGGATTTGATTGGTTTCAGGATTTCAACATGAGCTGACATTAGTTGGAGAAACAATGGAAAACCTGGGAGTACTAGACAGCTGTTTCGTCTTACTTCGGGACTCTTCAGCAATACGTATCCACTGGGATTCGAGCTTCTAGTTACATTGGATCGGCTCTCTGTGGCTTAATGGTATACGTGCTCGCCTTGTAACCAGAAGGTCCTGGGTTCAAACCACGCAGTGTGGGTGCGTACTGATGAAGAGTCCCAAACTAGGACGAGGCAGCTGTTCAGTATTCCCTGCAAGTTTTCCAATGGTTCTCTAACTGATGTCAGTTCCTGTAACTATAAATATCTGTTACCTGATGGCTTGTCTTCTGCTGTTACACCACTACTATATAGCACACAAAGGTAGACCAAAAAAGAGGTAAAAGAAACTCAGAATTACTATAAGGTAATAAATAAATAAAAAATAAATATAAATATCCTGTGAAAAGAATAGTAACATGGAAAAACATGACGGTTTAGTGGATTTGATAGATTACAAAGACTGAATGCATCGATGGCATTAAAACAGTCTCCAGCCATTAGCTGTTAACTTGTCGGGACCCCAACCAAGAGACCCTACACCTCCCTATGTATATGGCTTCAACCAACTGCCAAAGACTTCATAGATTGATGCCGAGTTTCAATTTAACCACTCCTAACTCCTTTTCAACTTAATCCTATATCAAATAATCTCCAGAGAACAACAATGAAAAGATGCAGAATGGCAAAAAGAATTTTAAAAAAAAACCTACCAGCTAGTACATCTGCTTCATCCATATGATGTGTAATGAATACAATCACACGATTCGATCTATTCTCAATCAATGCACGCCATATACAACGACGTGAAAATGGATCTACACCAGAGGTTGGTTCATCTAGCATGATTAAACGCGGGGAGCCAAGCAAAGCAATAGCAACAGACAATTTACGTTTATCTCCACCAGGTAGTAAATTAGTGAAGGTATGCGAGTATGCTGTTAATTCCAGTTGTTTAAATAATCTATAAGCCTGTAAATTCAAAGAAAAAAAGGTAGGCTACTTTAAAAAAATGAGTCACTGACAAGAACACTGAATATCTCTATGGTAATGGTGATCATTATTAAAAGCTTGTGTGTGTGTGTTCTTCATCGTACTAGACTTTCAAAGAATAGGCATCATTTACTCTATTGTTTTTTAGGTTATTCTGTGTTTACAATTGATTGAAATCCTGAGTCTCTCTGTTGACATGTCAGCGTTAGTAGGGAGCCCATGATGTTGTCTGAGGATTAACGTCACATAATGTTACCTTGGATAGTGGTGACCAATAGTAGAATCCAGTGTCTAAGGCGACAGTAAAGAATAGATACCATAGTCAAGTGACCCTGACTGAACCAACCAATCAGATCGCTCAAAATCATAAATGAATTCTTCTCACAGTCTTCATTGCAAATGCGTCATCGCGCATCTCGGCCTATTTTGGACTCATCATCTGTGCGTACCTGCATTCCCGGTGAAACTCAAAAGCAGAATCCAGTGTCTTATAGTCTAGTGGACTCAGTGTTCGAGTCCCTGTGGGGACAACCATGATTCATAGGGAAGGTGAGTATATTCAGCTGGTAGGTTTCAGAAGTGATGAAATGTGAATCCTGGATTCCACTGCTAGGCACCATTGTCAACCAAAATGCGATTTCTTCTCCTCTGCTGTACACTTTTTCCTTCTTTTGGAAATATCATTTCAGCCTTAGGATTTGGTGGTTCTTTCTGATCCTAACCTATTACCTAGACATTTTATTGTATATACCTGTTATCTGCGTTTTAGTGTCCAGCATTAGCCTTACTTTTAGATTTCTTATAGTAGTGATACTGCAAGAAGCTTGTCCATGATAAAAAAAACTACTAAATAACAAATACGCTATTGTTGATGTACTGCTTGTCTATAACTTTTGTGAATGTCATTTGTATGTAACTTGTAGCTACAACATTTTCATTATTTTCCGCTTCGGTTAGTCGTTTGGGAACTTCTCCGTTGCTATTTATATCATTATTATTATTATTATTATTCCCTTGGTTTCCGAGTGGAACATAGGGAGCTTCAACAACACAGAATGTCTCCACTTTCTTCTATTTTCTGCTATCCTCTTCAGCTAGCTGGCGCCACACTTGTTCATAATCCCTGATCTCCTTCATGTCACCCTCGCACTGACGACCTACTCGTTGATTCTCAGTAGGATTTCACTCGAGAGATGGTCTGCCCTGTGAGCGATATCATTCAACGGTTTCCTAAATGTATGCCCAACCGATCCATCTCCATTTTCTCCTACATATTTGTTGAGCAGTCGGCTCTTGCCTGTTGGTTGGTTTGTTCTCAGACAACTGATGAGGTGACTCACTGTTTCCGATGGATAACGGTAACAACGTCTAGCCTATCTCATGTAACTATAAAATATTGTTCGTAAAGATAAGAGACCTGCAAAGTTTGGATTATTTGACAACCATAGCATTCCATTAGCATTGCATTCTATATTACCATTATTGCTTCGTAGGGTTCTGAATGGAGCATACGGGGGCTTCCGCAGAACATCTCTATATCATTCTGTTATGTACTCGTCACTGAATTATTGTTATGGCCTGGTCGAGAATTTAATAGTCCTGACGCAAGAAGGCGGAAATCAGAAGACCACTAGGTTTGCGATGATACTTCTATTGTCCAAACACAAGGAGACGAAAATAAATGGTCTCACACCAAAGTGGTAAGTAAAGTAAAGTGTAGTCACACAAATTGTGTATCCGAAATATATATAGCAAAATATATAGCAGACATGTCAACAACAACCATATATGGATATATGTCACCAAGCAACGGACTGTCAACAAACACTCATATTATATATAATATAATATAAGGAGAATATACATCGGTAAAGGAGACAGGTTCATACAAGTGAAATGGTCACAGACTAAGCGAGCAAACAGAAAGAGAGACCAACATACACACACACATAAATATATATGTGTGGATACATATCACATTCTGTTCTCTATAGTCCTTTTTACCACACTCAACGATCGTCCATCAGTTTTTATTTCTTCCACACATACACGCAAACACACGATCTCAACCATGTCACCTGTGGATATACACGCCCAACTTGTCGCATTCCATTTAGTTTCCAATCAAGGGCTTCGCGGATGTGATGTCACACAGCAGTCTCCCTGCAAGTGTGCCAAATCCATCTCCATTTCCTTAGATATATTTGCATGACATTGTATTCATTTGTGAAAATATCACAATGTGAACTTTAGAACTAGGATAGCAACTTAGAAGTAATACACGAAGTCATAAAATTTCATCGATTCAGACAAATGGAATATGTATTTCTTATATCTACCCGTAGACTACGTCATCATGCTTGTGTATATTTTCATAATTAACATTGGATTGGAATAAATTAAAAGGTAAGCAGACCATGATATGGCAATGAATAATGAAGCCCGTCTTCATGTCTAATGTCAAGTACCTTGGGCTGAGTTTTTCAACCGATCTTTCCTGGTCTTCCCACATCTTGCTAGTTACTAGAAAGATGTTTCGCTTAACATTCTATGTTAGAAAATTTAGGCAGTCTGGTATAAAGCAATCTTTGCTTTCTCACTTTGCCAATTCTGGTATTCTACCCATCCCCCTTTACTGCTCCCCATTAATCTTTCCTGGACTACTTAAGAAAGACTTTGCTTTGCTGAGAAGGACAGGCAATAAAAGCCCTTAGTAAGGCAAGTGGGATATCGTTAAACCAACTGGTTAACACTGTTGTGGGTAGGCATATTATGTCATGTAAGAAACTAGCCAGTACAATATTGTCAGACCCCGAGCATCCTCTCTATACGCAGCTGTCTCTTTGCATTTCATCTGGTAGAACTAGAAGCAGCTATAGGAGGCTGGCTATATGCTAGGACTACCGAGTACAAAAACTCCACAATACCATATCTGGCACAGCTGTTATGTGATGACAAATCCGTTAGGTATGACACGATCAACTTACTGCGACACTCTAAGAAATAGTCCCATTAGTTGTTTTTGTTTTCCTTTCCTCGTTACTATTACACTATTGTTGTTCACATCTTCTATTACACACTAATTTTATATTTCATATCCTGTGGTCCACTGTTTAAAATGTAAACGCACCGCTGTTCCTTTTTATTTTTTTATTTATCTTTTTTTTGGTTGTTGCCTTTTAATTTTAAATTCTTAAAAAACTTATGAGGTAATTAGATGCAATATATTGTAATGCAAGCTGAAAACTCCATACCTGTACCACAAATACTGTCTGGAATAAAGGTTATTATTATTATTATTATTATTATTATTACTATTATTATTATTATGTGATAACTACAAGAAGGCTAGCTTGACTAATATGGCATCTAAAGTTCTTGGCTCAGTAATCATATGTAGACCAAACGGTGCTTTGGAGGAACAAACGCGAGAGAACCAAGCAGGTTTTAGAGCAGGAAGAGGGTATATTGATCACATCTTCATCCTTCGACAGATTCTGGGACATAGGCATACTTACTGTCGGCGTTCAACAATCGTCATATTTCGTGACCTGTAAGCGGTATCCAATTCCATCGAGCGAGAGGTACTATGGTGATGTTTGGCTTTAAAGGGAATGCCAAGGAAATACATTGCACTGATCAAGGCATTCTGCTCGAATTCATGCAACCAGGTGAGGAAGTACGAAGAGTTTTCATCTTGAGTGATGACAGCCAGGTATCCGTCAGGGACGACAAGTGTCCCCATTTCTGTTTAATTTCATCATAGATGTACTCATAGAATTTACCCTGACCTGCCACAAGGGAATGATCTCGTTGACTTAGAATATGCAGATGGTATAGTCGTCCTCGATGAAGACACTGACAAAACGTAAAGTATTCTCATTGCCTTAATCAGCAATCTTCGAATATTTGACATGCCATTCTCTCCCTTTGTCAAATGTAAGATTATATCTGCTGCAGAACTGGACTACATTGACCCACTCACTCCTAGCTTAAAGATACACAGGAGTGGAATGATCGGTGGAGCACATTGGCCACTTCAGTAACTGTTTTGGGAAGTTGCATCAGCTAACGCCAGTGGGCTGATCGCTGACGAAGTCTCAGCCCACCTACAGAAGACTCATTATACATTTGCCAACGTAGACCTGATATCATACTGGCTGTCAAACAAAGGACGTGTGTACAGCTCAACAGTAGCTCCCTTCGTCCTCCTTTATGACTAGTTGTGAGATATGGTGGCCATCGAAAGTGGAAAACACGAAAAGGCTGGCTAGCTGTCTCTGATCAATGGTGTCTGCGTTCTATCTCCCGTGTTAGGTGGTATAATAAGGTGAGCAAATATCTAGGTTAGGTGTCGAGTGCTAGGTGGGTGGGGGAAACCAATCGTCGAGGTTGTGAAGTCAAGACGATTGAGATGGTTTGGACATATGTTATGCATGACTAGACATCCATCACCTACCTCGACGACGGATAATGTTAGCCGATATAGGATGGATCAGGTTGGACAAACAAAAACATGGAATCAGTTCGTGGAATCTTTGACAATTAGATTGTGCCAACCACGTAGGGAGGTGTAGACTTCTCGACTGATTGGAGTCCTCAAGATGGTAAAAACCAATGACTGCTGGAGACAATTCGTGATTTAGCTCAAAATCATTGTCAATGTCCTGTGCAGATGCATTCATTCCTTATAATTTGTCATATAGTTCTATCGAGTATCTTTTTTCTCTCATTTGTTCGCTAGGTACTGGTTTCGAAACCCACTGGGTGCGTGCTGTTGAAGAGTCCCAAACTCGGCTGACGAAACACGCGGCTATTCAGTACTCCCAACTGGTTTTCCTATGGTTCTCTAACCGTTGTCTGCTCATCATGATGAAATCCGGTAACCAGTCAAATTCCTGCAAACCTACACTTGAATCCTAACTGATCAACTCGTTGATACTAGATAGACGCTATGTGTATGGTCAATAACTCTCTTT